CAAAACTCTCGCTTCGTTGTACTCGGATACACAAACACGAGAGAGTCTTCATACTCCTTTGTGACTATATCGCATTAGTGTGTATGAATGTAAGAGACGTTTAACCAAAAGTGACAAAATTTATGCAGCTAGAGTGGGGTAACACTTCTGCTTGTCTTGGGGTATCCTTTACGTTTATCAATTCCTCGTTAAATTATGTCTCACTTGCTCTTTTGCTTGCGATAAATGCTCTGAAGCAACATCGTAACTTCAGCGCCCACTGACGTCGAGCTTAATTGCCTCTCGTAAACTTATAATTAACGACCCGATGAATATTATATTTTGCTTCATTAACGGTGATTGCGCCGGGTGGTTTCAATTCTTTAATGCAGCATGTGTTTGGGTTGAGGTTGGGGGGACTGCGGCATTGTTTTTGTTGGAGACATCAAAGGTGGGAGGAATTCGCACACGTTTGAGTTGATATCTTTTTTATGTGTAAGTATTGTTGAGAAGTGAAATTTTTTTGGGGGAATGGCGGTAGACATGAGACGATTTTAGCTTCGGAATGTGGTAGTGGGGGAGGATAGAGCCTGGAAATAATCTTGGATTCATCTTAATGGAAGATTAATCAATATTGGTGGAGGATCATTACGCAAGCCTGCACCAACCCTGCTATAGTGTGGAAAAATGATCTAGTGTGGGGGTCTTATGGAATTATATGAGCTCATTCGGTTTTATACGGAGGAAATTTTTTGGAATTATTGTGAAGCACCGGAAAAATTATTGGGGGGAATAATAATTTTTCCTGTGCTACACTGAGAAATAGTACATTTTTAGGCTGTGGCGATGGAATTTTTCACTCGCTTGGTTGGCCAATCCTCGCCTTCGGCTCAGATGCGAACTCCACGCGCGTGAAAAAATCTCATCACACCCTAGACAATAATTTTCTATAGTGAGTTTCAAGCAGAAGTAAAAATGAAAATTACGTTTCGATCCATGAAATTTTCGAAATTCAAGAGGGAAAATTCCTTTTTTGCTTCGCATCTTTTTCGTATTTTTACGTAAAAATCTCCATTTTAAGAATATCCATAAGTGCTTTGGCCGTTTTTTCTCCAGTGAAATACTTTTCTACTTTTGGAGTCGAACATCAGAGCTTCCATTTGAGTCCCATTTGACCCTAAATTTCCGGACATTTTACAATGAATTCAGAATTTAAACTTTGAACGTCTGACGTTTGTCACGTTTGTGTTGCTGCACGTCAGAATTTGAATCTCGATATTCATCCGTTAGAAAACATTTGAAAATTTGAAAAAAAAAAAAGATTAGAAAATTTACTTATGGCGGAAAATTGATGGAATAATTAAAAAATTGCAATTTTCGAAAATTACGAACATTTTCTACAAATAATTTATAAACAATAAATTGTTCACTATAAAAATCATGTTCGGAATTGTAACAAATTTATTCATATTCAAAATTTTACCAGAAATCGAATCCATGCCTAGAAAGATAAGGTTTCTGAAAGTTTAAACAATTTCAATTATTTATTTATAAATAACGAATGTTAAAAAAAATAACAATTCTGTGCAAAAGTAATTTGAATGACGTTGAATATTCATGATTTTTTTCCAATTGTTCTCCCGAAATTTAATTGAAAAATTTGATGATTGACTCTATAGTGTGATCTGTACCAAACATTTCATCTAACTTTTACGTTTCTTCATGTAATTTTTCCTGAAGATCTTTCTCCGTTAATTATTCACCTTTTCCGAATGAAATAACTTAATTTTGGATCATCAAAAATCCAGAAACATTTTCATTGAATCCCACGAATATTTCATCCACATTTATCCAGGGATTGGCTTTGAAAACTCGGGAAATGGAACTTTTATCTGTTCATGGTGTCTATGCGATTATCTCCTTTGAATTTGTATGTAGAAAAAGATGCGATAAAAGGAGCTTGAGAAAAGGGGACTTGCCCTTCACTCGTCCATACTGAGTGATTCCCTACCCTGGAGAGGCTAGAGCCTTTTGGATTCCGGGTTAAATCGCTGCGATTATTCATGTCACAGTGAGTCTCTTAACAGCTCACCGAGAAAACGGCTCTTTGGAGATACAAATACTCAATGCTGAGGTGGAACGAGGGAGTACACTCGCTCCAAGGCGAGAGGGGGTCTCTTTGTGCACCTGCATATAAATACGGATACATAATGTAAAGTGCAACTCCTCCCCCCTTCGTCTACCCTCGTTCGAGCAGTGTAAAAAGAGGGATGAACGCGGAAAACGACTGGTGGTCATGGGAATCCAACAACTTGTCCATTTATACTGGAATTACAAGAGATTTTTTATCTTTTTATCACATAATTATGACGGCTTTTGAGCACTCACCTAGAGTGCGAGCGAAATATTTGGATGATAATTAATTTAATTGAATACAATTTTTTTTAACAATTCGTTTTGAATTTTCAAAAATGATTATTGATGAAAAATTAAAAATATTGATTTTAATTATGTAAAAAATTGATTGACTTTAACCAATAATATTAAATAAACATTAATCATTATTAATGCACAAAAAAAATCTTGAACCGAGTAGGGTAGGGTGCGGTAAAGTGGAACAACTGTGTTTTCCACAATATTCCTAAATTTTTTTAAATTTTGTTTTACAATGTACGTCAAACACCATAATTTTTACGCGATTTTCATAATATGTTTTTTGCAACATTCTTCTCCGTGAAGGTCTGAAAATCTAGAATCTCCCAATCTTGCTACATCAAATTTACACCTCTAAATATGACACCTCAAATGACATCGAATTATCTAACCAAATTACCACCTGAATAATAAAAAAAACTTTCCAACCCTCCGCGCATCCTCCAAACCGCTCTCCATCATCTCCACCGCCATCAACATTCCCATTCCCCCAAAACCTCTCAACCCGCTGGTATTCGAGTCGGCATATCTAGGGGGTTGGTAACCTCATTCCCAAGAACATCAAAATTTTTCACTGGAATTTCCGGTAAGAGAATAATTAATTAAAAAATTGAGGAAATTGATGAAAAATCATGAAAATTCTGAAAAATTTCTCCTTGAATTCCAGATTCCTCTGAATTTTCAGGGAATTTAGTAGTAAAATTCATGTTCACTTGAAAATTCATGTAAATTGTAGAATTTTTGTCTTCCTGCCGCTAAAAAATTGGAACTGTACTTGAATATTCAGAGAGACTCAAGATTCCATTGACTTTTTCTCCTTAAACCAAATTTAAGTTCTTTTTCCGGAAAATTAAGTTAAATTTTATTTGACAGGGCACTATCAATTGACTATCAATTGTTACTATAGAAATAATAGAATTTTGAATTTTCGGTATTAATTGTCAATTTACTTCTTCAAGTAATGTTTACGTATTAAGTCTTAAGCGATTGGATACCATGTATTTTTATATATATTATTATGAACTATTGAATATATACATAATTACAAATAACTCTGGTTGTTATATTTGCGTGGACATCCTGCCGTTCATGATTTCATTTGATGTATCCTTGGTGCGTTAGGTGATGAACTTCTCAATTGATATGCACATAAATAGCAAATGTTTGAACGGTTCAAGTGTTGATCCCACTAGTGGTTGTCACTCATTTCGCTTCAGGTAAATTTGGAAAAGCATTACGAGAACGATTTTTTACGGTCTTATCAGAGTAACTGAAACCCTGCTGAGTGATCCTAGTTCCAAGTCTATTGAAAAATATCAATCGCATCATTGGTTGCGAGAGATCGTTGACCAAAAATTTTGATTTGATTTCGTTTGAAATGGCAGGAAGAGCAGTTGAATGTGATTAATTCTGATAGATTGATGTAGTATTATAGCGTAAATGTTCGAAGAGTGGATTATTACTTTGTAATTTATCAATGCAAATCTGAGAAGCAGTGCAGGGAAGAATTCATTTCTTCAACAATATAAAAATGGAATAAGACCTTTCATTGTCTCATTAATTGAAGTCATAATTATGCCTACAAAGTAGTGTTGGAATCGCTACTCTCGCAGAATTAGCGAAAAATAAAATAGTACACGTGTGAGGACAGTGCTGTTGGGTTGCAACGATTGGGCAGACGGCGATATCTTCTGCACCTGAAAGTCCTTGAAGCACAGTTGTATCGGCTCAAGCCATATAACAGTTGTTGAAGGTGGATCAAAGTTGAATACTTGGCTTTTCTTCGTGACAATCAGTATTGCATATTTTACCATGACATCAGAATGCGGAAATGTGAAGACATAAAAATGGTATGATAAAACGTACAAAACTATTTACTTCAGATAAGAGTAGTTCCACGTCAGAACGCAAGAAAAGAAAGTCGATTACGAGGATCTTCGCGCCAATTTTTTTTCCAAACAGTTGGTCTTCAAATAAACATTTTGAAAAAAAAATATTGAAAAGTATTGAAAATTGAGGAAGTTATAATTTTTTGCAAATTTTTAACTTTTTCTACATGAAAATTTGATATAAAAATCATCTAAAAATATTCATCGGAAAAAAAGGAATATTAAAAAAAATAATAGCGGCCTCAATTTTCAATATTTTTCAATGATTTTTTTTTCAAAATGTTCGTTTGAAGACCGAGTTTTCAAAAACAAATGGCGAAATGATCCCGGTCATCGATTTTTTTGTCCTTGCGAAAACCACTTTTTTGCAGAGATGGACTGCTTGGATATCCTTAACATAGAAATAATAGGAAAACAAAGGACTACCACGTAGGCAAAAGAATAAGCTAAGATAAGAAGTTTCTTATTTAGGAATTTAAACAAAATTTTGACAGAGCAGAGAGACATGTTTAGAGCGAATAAGCAGAAAAATACCATCGAAGCAGTAAGCAAATTGTGAGTAGTATTAAGAGAATTACAAGAATATCTGTGATCAAAAATTAATGTTGCAAATACCAGATATGATAAATGAATAAGATAATGACTAGTATCATAAGGGAAGGGGAGATTAACTGAGCTCCGAGCAAAGTATTGAACCCAGCGTTTCTTCATCAAGTGACCAGTGTCTCAGTTGGCTCTCAAAGGAGGCAGGCGACAATGCAGAAGCATAAATATTGTATATAAAAAGTGAAGCTTTACTGCAGGAATATAAATAGTAGAAGCTCACAGGCTCTGTCACAGAATAAATTCGCGCTATTGAGCAGAAACATTTGAAAGTAGTCAATAACATTGAACCAGAAACAATCCGTAAAAATCGAATCATGTATTCTGATTTTAGTTTTCCATCGCGAAATATCCATTTGATTTTTCTATTCTTTGGCGCCATAATAGCAGGTAGAGCGACAGCAAATGATCAGATCAACGAGTTACAATCTAAAAAAAAAATACCATACGATCCTGAGATTGAAGCAGCAGTGGTGAGTGAAACATAATTAAAAACAAAAATATATAAAAATTCTAGATTTCAAATTTCAAAATTTCAAAAATTGAAAAATAATCAAAAATAAAAAAGAATAAATTTGATATTTCAGTACCGAAACGATAAAACGGTTCAAGTCGATTTAGGCGTAAGCTGAATTTTTGAGGAATATCTCTTTTTTTTAAATTTTAGCACGAAACTTTACAAGTTTATACAGCTTATCAATATAGGATAGGAAAGAAAAAAAAGTAGAAAAGAAAAATTACAATAACAAAAAAGAATATATAACCTAAGACAGGAAGCAGTTTATATAGATTCGTATATAGATGTGTACATTGGTGTCTTAGTTAGGTCTTATATTTATAAAATGCTTTCGTTCAGAAACTTCGTGATGATTTCTATGCATATTAGATCTAGGTCTTTCAGGATATTTTGGCTAGAGTACGGTATGGAGGGAGGAAATTTTTCCTTTGTAATGCGTTGAGCATATTTTGTCTCGACTGATCATGTCGGGGGCAGTCCCGCAGCACATGGTCGAGGTCTTCATTTGGGTGGCCACATTCGCATTGGGATGAGGAATATCTCCGAATCTAAGACAGCAAAATTTTTGTCACGACCTTTTTTGTAGCGCCCATTGCGCTGTATAAAAAAGGTAATTACGAAAATTTCGAAATCTACCTTAGATTCGGAGATATTCCTGGAAAACTCAGCTGAGGCCTAAATCGACTTCACTACTGGTTTTAATGAACACGATTTCAGATGAATATGGTCAAAAACGCGGGATATGTCCTCGAAAAGCACATAGTCGAAACTGACGACGGATATTTACTAACGGTGCATCGACTTCCGAATGCGTCAGGATCCCCAATATTCCTGCAGCACGGACTGCTGAGTAGTTCCGCCGACTGGCTCTCACTTGGCAAAGAAAAAGCCTTTCGTAAATAGCTTTAATATTCGTGATTCTACATTAGACTGACTTGAAATTATTCAATTTTACCATTGCAGCTTATTTACTATCGAATCTGGGATACGACGTGTGGTTGGGTAACTTCCGAGGTAACGCATTGTCTAAGGCGCACGTCAATCTATCTACGGATGAATCTGAATATTGGAACTTCTCATGGCATGAAATGGGAATCTACGATTTACCTGCTATGATAGACTACGTCGTCAGTAATACAAATAAGAAGGCGATTTACATTGGCCACTCGATGGGGACGACAGGGAGTTATGTGATGGCAGCAGAACGCCCTGATATGCAGGATAAATTGAAGTTGATCATCAGTTTTGCACCAGTTGTCTACTTGGCTCACATCAAGAGTCCTTTACGGCTCTTGGCACCGGTGAGCGACGAACTAGAGGTCAGCATCCACACTTTTCATCTAACGAAGGGATAAACTATTCCTATAGAATTCCAAGAGAATTTTCTAGCGAATTCGCTAGGTTTTCTATTGAATTTTTTCATACGTGTCTGACTTGTTACGTCTCATCACTGTCCCACCAACTTAAGGTTTCTACATAGAATTTTGATTTTTCAAGATAATTTCAAAAACCTTTGGCTACAACGAGCTGTTCGCCGCGGATGATGTGGCCGGCGTTCTCCTGCGACATTCCTGTAGCAGCAATATCGTGAACGGGGATTTGTGTGCGAATATACTTTTTGCAATAGTTGGATTTGATCCGGCGCAGATAGATTGGGTGAGTCGGAAGGGAAAGATTAACGCTAAAAATTAACATTAATATTAACATTTCGATTCCAATGATTGCCGTAGGAGCAATTGACAACTATCGCGGGTCTCACTCCTGCTGGGAGTTCAACAAAATGTTTCATTCATTATTTGCAAGAAGTAGAGCCTAACCAATTCAGACAGTATGATTACGGAGCATTCGATAATTTAAAAAAATACGGTACGCTCACTCCACCAAAATACGATATATCGAAAATAAAAGTTCCCATTGCTTGCTTCTACGGTGACAACGACTGGCTGGCTGATGTTGGCGTAAGTCAAGTTAATTTTTTATAGAGAAACGTTGAAACGAGGGAATTGGCAAAATAATGTATTTGGTATTATTTCAGGATGTAAAAAGATTCTATGCGAAACTTCCCAATGGAATCTCAATCCAGAGAGTTAATCTCACATCGTTCAATCATATAGATTTTCTGTGGGCGAAAGACGCTCCAGGCTTGCTGTACGATCCAACGATTGATATCATTAAAAGTTTCGATTAACTAGTGGCAATCGCTTACGTGGGGCTTCCTCAATTTGGGATAACATTCCAATAACGATATTTTCAAGTTTTATTCAAATAACCTAATATCATAGTTTTAAGTGTTATAATGGTATTTTACACAACAAGTGAGGTAAATCGGATTTTACACGCGAGTGCGGCTTCGCCGCACTTAATCAAATAATCAAGTAAGGGAGTTTGACCCTCTTGACCCTCGTAATCTATTGTTCCTTGTTGTACCTTGTGACCCGTATGGCCCTTATGACCTTAAAGGTCCCTGCGGGTCCCTGCGGCGAAGCCGCACTCGCGTGTAAAACCGACTTACCTCACGAGTTGTGTAATGCATTTTATGTCATCAGTGCGTCTCTGGGGGTAGTGAGTGGGTACTTGTGGGGTGGGGGGGGGNATTTTTCTCCACCCCCCCACCCTGAAGACAATATGAGGAAAGTTTGTTGATTTTTCACTATTTTTTTATTAGTATGAAGAATTAATAAACATAATCTCAACAATATAAAAAATCAAAAAGTATCTCATCACCACCCCACAACCGTCACAAACTGCAAACTCAACAATGATCAAAATAAAAGAACTAATGACGACTCATCAACTTCAACAAATTCCAATATCAACAACAAAGAGAACTTGAATGTGATGAACCTCTTCAAAAATCCCGTCAAATGTATCTCTTACTTTTAATAATTGTTAAAAGATGAGTAATGATAATAATAATAATAATAATAATAATAATTTATGTTTATTAATTCTTCATACTAACAAAAAAATAATGAAAAATCAACAAACTTTCCTCATATTTTCTTCA